GGGGAGGGAGGGGGAGGAGAGGCAGGGGGAGGAGAGGCAGGGGGTGGAGATACAGGGGGCAGCCTCTGGAACGTCCTAAAGGCCTGGAACGTCCCTCTTTCTTCTCCAGTTGTTTTAAAGTCCTCGTTTCAATTCAAGCCACGGTGTCCACAGTATGAAACCTGCCCCAACAGAGGCTCAGTTTCCCCAGAAAGCCACGTCCTCCATCACCCAGGCAGAGGGACAGGATGGGACATGTGTGGGACGGGAGGAGCCTGGAAGGAGAGCAAGGGCTCTGGACCAAGGCCCTGCCCCGGCCACCGGACCAGCCTGCACCGGAGACCGAGCCCTTTAGAGAAACTTCCCTCACGGCCTGGACCACAGGGACACGGACCACAAGGGCCAGGACCACACGGGCCAGGACAACAGGGGCCTGCACAGAGAGCCTCCCTGATGGGAGGGAGGCGCCACCTGGACATGGGGTACGAGTTTCTGCTGTTGTCCCCTCCCAAGCAGAAAACTAATCTACAGCCACTAAGTGGAAGAAGTGAGTGCGACAACCCTAGGCAGCTGCGAATAAGTCCCTGCCCTGAGGATGTAGGAGCCCAGGAGCAGGTCACTCCCCCAATTCTCCCTCCCGCCCAGGCGAGGAGGAGGCTGGGCAGTCTGCGTCACTCACTGCTGCGAGCCTGGCATCAGGATTCGGGTGTGGGCTGAGGTCCGGGCAGGCAGGTGAGCTGCACACGGATCGAAAAGACCGCGGAGAGCCTCTCACCCTTGTGGGAGCGCGAGGAAGAGGCAGACGCCACCAGAGGGTCGGGAGGAAGCAGGTGAAACTGCTATTTAACTAATTACAAGCCTCACACGAAGGCGGAGGAACAAGGAAACTCAACAGTCAACGTGCTGAAACCAGCAGGAAGCAACCCGGGCTCTCCCTGGAAGACCAATGACCGCTCAGCCACGGAGGCTTTTAGCAGGACTGTCTCCCCCGCTGGGGCCGTGCTGCCCCCATAAACAGGGCCCAGGGTGCAAGGGCTCTGCGCTCCTCCCCCGAGACGCCCCCTCCGGGCAGGAACCCCACGTGTGTGGACCCACCGAGCATCTTCAAGATGAGACTTGCTGAGTGAATTAGCTGTTGTCATTGTTCCAATGAAACTGAAATTAGCTTTTGAAACGGGACCCGAAAAATGTCTGGAGTTAGAGCTCTCCTAGATACCGAATGCAACGAGAATGTGAAACGGAAACTGGCACGTTAACGGTCCCCACGGAACGGGACCTTTTCTGGGTTGTGTCTTTAAAACCCAAATAGTACTGGGGAAACGTGAACTTGTAGAGATTGACCCTCTAGAACAGCGGTTCTCAACCTGTGGGTCGCGACCCCTTTGGCAGTCAAACGACCCTTTCACAGGGGTCGCCTAAGACCATCCTGCATATCAGATATTTACATGACGATTCATAACAGTAGCAACATGACAGTTATGAAGCAGCAACGAAAATAATTTTATGGTTGGCTCACAACGTGAGGAGCTATATTTAAAGGGCCAGAAGGTTGAGAACCGCTGCTCTAGGACTTGTTTAAAGTCTCCTTTGGATCGCTTCTCGGCCTTTTGGCTAAGATCAAGTGTAGTAAAGTCTCCTTTGGTTCTGATATTAATTTGATTGCATTAGCTGATCATCTTCATCTGCTTTCAAAAAGTCTCGCTAAAACACAAAGGATGCCTGCACGCATCCACTGCCCAGGAAACAGGATGAGAAACTAGAGCTGTCTGCGATCAAATGCAACGGACACACGAACACGTGAGAAAGAAAAATAAAGAGGAGCCTCAGGCCAACCCGCCAGGCTCCTGCTATTCACGCTGCACCTCGCTGCTCCTACCCACACCCACGGGGACTCTGTCTTCAGCCCGTGCTCCTGGCCCAGCCTGGGTGCTCCCAGCGTCAAGGTCAGGCTCCATTTCCTTGTGTGCCCTGCCGGACAGATGCCACCTGCACCTGGATACCGAGGCTGCTTCGGGGTCCTTGAGTCCAGGCTGAGGTACGCAAATGAACGCGAGACTTAGAGATGTGGGGTTGCCCTGGCCGGTTTGGCTCTGTGGATAGAGTGTCAGCCTGCAGACCAAAGGGTCCCAAGGTTCGATTCTGGTCAAGGGCACAGGCCCAGGTTGCAGGCTCGATCCCCAGTGGGGGGCGTGCAGGAGGCAGCCGATCAATGATTCTCTCTCCTCATTGATGTTTCTATCTCTTCCTCTCCCTCTTCCTTCCTCTCTGAAATCAATACAAATATGTTTAAAAAAAAGAAAAGAAATGTGGGGTCATTGCTGCAGTTGGTTTAGTTTGAAAATATACAGGAGAGGGGATGAGAGTCAGTGGCACCCCGAATATTTCATTGAACCGAAGGCCACTGTGCGGAAGGTGAGGGGCTGGCCGCTGCAACCTGGCCTGGGACCTGACCCCAGCTCTGCCCTCGCTGGCCTGTGCCTCAGTTTCCCCCCGGAGGCTGCAGTGTGTGTGAGATGCATTAGTGAGCTCCTGTGAGCCTCACAGGAGTTAATGCGTGTGAAGGCCCCGAATAGCACCTGGCATGCAGTTAGCGGTCTTTGTATTTATTTTAACTATTCTCACTGTTCTCATTAATAAGCTTTAATTAAAACTTCTAAAATAATCTGTTATTAAAAGGTAAAAAGACAAATGAAATGAATTTGAAACACCCCACTGTCTCGGGGGAGACCCTAGGTATTTTTCCGGCAGCGACTTACTCAGCCCTGTCCCCGGGGGAGGCCGGAACAGCACCCACACGCCCAGGGGCGGGGCATCTCCAGGTTTGATAAGAGAAGCCAGGCCCCTTTGCCTTCAGGTTGGCATCTTTTTATTTTTTTTAATATTCGTTGTGGGCCACATGTGGCCTGCGGGCCGAGAGTTTGACATACTTCATTTATTTTTTATATGTATATATTTA